GATCATAATTTGTCTAATTGCAATATGTACGTCGATGGAGGAGGGAGTTCCCCATCAGAATCACTTTGAACTTAGAATTCCAGGTTATTGAGGGATTTCTGTTGCCTTCTTCCTCACATACAGGGTAGTAGAAATGTATTTAGATTTCAATATTCCTTTCTACCCGAAACAATTGGAGTTATATTTAATATCATCTAAATGGTTTTGCGGTTAGGAAAAAAAAACACCCTAAACATGACAGTACTATAAACAGACTACATGTGCAGACAGATACATAGAACACAGCGTCCAGCACAAACACATTTCTGCCCCATGCAGCTCCTGACTTCTGCTTTGTATTGCTGGATTTCTGAAAAAAATTAGTCTGCTTTTAATCGCCTGCATAGAACCTCACTAGCCAGTTATCGAGGGGCCAAAAAGGAACAGTTTTCATGGTCGAAATAATTTTATTTATCCAGAATATACAGTTTAATTCCTCTATCTACACTTATTTACACGGTTAAAATAACATTGAAAAACGTCTTTTGAAAAGTTGAGGTCATAGATTTCAAGGCACCATTGATAGTGTCCACAGTTGCGCACAAAAAAAAAAAAAGTTTTTTTTTTCCGTAAAAAAAGGGGAGGGGGTCTTTTGAAATGCAATAACTTACATGCAAAAAAAAAAAAAAGCTTTACATATGAACTTTTTTGTTGTTGTTTCCATTTTCCAAACATCCCCGTATGAATTCCTTTCTTTCTGATTTCTAAAACAGCAAAACACTGTAGTCCCAAAACTGAGCAAGAAAGACAGAACAAGCAGCCCGTCTAATAGAGCGTCCCGGAGGCCAGGGCCAGCGGGTGCTGCAAGGAGCCCGGCGGCGGCAGGTGGGAATTGATTGAGCTGGCTGCGCTTGGGTACCAGGAAGCCGAGTTCTCCAAGTAGCTGGACGCGGGGGACTGGTTGGAGGTCGGAGGGTGGGCATGAGGGTGGTGGCTGAGAGAGCGGGATGAGCCCTGGGGCTCCCACACCGCTGGTGACTGTGGCGAGTTACACGCCATAGGGTCGCTGGAGCTGGGACTGTGCTCCGGGGGCATCTCCCCGTTTTTCATGATCTTCTTGATCTTGGATCTTTTGTTCTGAAACCAGATTTTCACCTGGGTGGGGGAACAAAGGCACATGTTACCGGGACACTCAGAGGTTGCCCGCGCCTTTCCCTGGGCGGAGTGAAGGCTCTTCTGGCCCCTAGACTACCCAGTCCCGGTATCTCCCAGCAGCTGTCCACCTACGGCCACGATGTGCAGCCTCACTCGAGGCAAGGAGTGGGGCCCACAGAGGGAGCCCTGGCCAGCTCAGGCAGCACCCGGCTTCAGCTAGGGTGAGACCCCAAGGCTTTGTCTTTTATTATCTCTGGACCTGAGCGCTCGCGTGGGCCTGTGCACCAGTGCACCGGCTAAGAGTACTCGAAGGCTAGAGCCCCAGGGGGTGGGGGGTTGGAGGGTAGAAGGGGCGTGGGCCAGACTGAAGGCTCAGTATGCCAAAGGAAAGGAGCGATTTCCCAATCTCCTGCCGGACTCCCTTCACTCCCCTCGGCACTGGGAAGCCAGACTCTGCCTGAAGCTCTGGGCGGCGACTTGAACATTCTTTATTCTAGGCCCCAGCCAGTTGGAGTGGGAGGGAAAAGAAGGGGACAATCCAGGAGGGTCTCCTCCTACAACAGCGCCCCCCCCCCCCCCGCGACCCTCAGGCTGCTGCGGCTTCCAGCTGCCCCAGGGATAGGACACGATCCGGATACGACGATCCAGGCCTTTGCGCGGCCGGAGCCCACAGCCAGGCCACTGTGCCTGGAAGCTTCTCATTGTGAAGAGACCCAGACATTTCTTCAGAACGCGCGAGAGATTCCCCGCCCCCACAAATACCCCTACCCTTGTTTTCCACTCTGGAACGTTGGTCCCCAGCCCTCGGTGGCTAAAAGGGCGCGGGGGGGGGGGGCAACTCGGGACAAACGACGAATCCCGTGCCTACCGCCACGTGTCGTTAACAGGCCTGGCTCGTGGAGGGAAGGATGCAAGGGCTAGTGTCTGTCTATCGGTGTCTGTCTGTCTGTGTCTGCAGAGTTCTAGGGTATCGGCTCCAGCCAGTCGGGACCGAACCACGCGGCCCAGCCCGGCTTGCAGGCCAGGCGGGGCCGGTACCCGGCTTGCAGGCCAGGCGGGGCCGGTACCCGGCTTGCAGGCCAGGCGGGGCCGGTACCCGGCGGCGGCCGGATTTACCTGTGTTTGCGTCAGTCCCAAAGAGGCAGCCAACTCGGCGCGTTCTGGCAGGGCGAGGTACTGAGTCTTCTGAAACCTTCTCTGTAACGCGGCCAGCTGAAAGCTGGAATAAATAGTCCTGGGTTTACGAACTTTCTTTGGTTTACCGTTCACCATCCTCACCTCTGGCTCCGCCACTTCTTTCTCTAAACAATCAAAACAGACTCGGTTAGAGCTTCTGGGCAGACAACGGCTCTTTTGCATCGGTCCTCCAATCACTGAGGTTTTGCTTGTTTTGAAGTATGCAGTCTTCTCTCTCTTTCCCAATATCACCACCTTGACTTTTCAAACCTCAGTGAAACCGGTCCCTTCCCCAAATCATACATTAGAAGAGTCGGCCAGTACCCGATTAATGGTCCTGCGTGCCGTGGGGCACCTCGTACACAGTCAGCTGCTCCTTCGTTTTAGGGATGCTTACTTCTCTCAGACATCCCCAACCCACCCCATGTCCCACATTCACCCTGGGCTCCCCGGCGTTTCTGGGACGTGAATACCCACTCCATTCCCAGGGCGTCAAGTGAGGAGGCCCTGGGCCGTGACCCCGCTTCTGTCGGCGTCTGTTCGGGCGCCCGCAGAGGCTAGACGCTTGGGCAGGGAAGACGCTAGCCAAGGTCTCCAAAGTTCAAAGACCAACAAGCAAACTATGTTTCTTCACTACAGCGGCAAGCGGTCGGTCGGGGCCGCGGCAGACAGAGAGCCGATTATGCAGCCCCCATAATCTCACTGCAGATCTGCGAGGCACGGATGTGTCTGGTTTCTTTTACAAATAGACTTAATATGTTCTTGGCCAAAAAAAAAAAATCTTCCCCTTATGCACGAAGCGACAGGAACAGACTCAAAGTTCAATCAGAGATACATAGAAAAGGAATCTGTCGGGAAGATATTTTCGTAGTAAAGGGGAGAGAGCCGGGAAGAATTCTCACTGTTATAAATGTACACCGCTGGAGGGGGGCGTCTCTGAACCAGTGTTTTGCAAACATGCCTCTCGGCCACATGGCCCCTTCCCCCCCAAAGTTCTAGGAGCTGAAAGGAGTGGGAGAGCCTGTGTGTGTGAAGCTGCTGCCAGAGGAAGGGTGGAGGATGAGGGCTGTGGTCTCCACTCTGCTGGAGTAGGGGATGCTAATATTAGCAGGCTTATTAATGTGTTGGTGAGGAGAGATCAAAATCGACCAGTCAAACTTCTCCTCCGAGACTTCACGCCTCTCATTTACCGCCCAAGCTCACTACCCCACTGTAACTCTGAGCAAGTTTCAAGGTGGACGGAAAAAAGGAGGCGGTGAGGAAGGAGGAGGCAGACAAATTCTAGGCACCTAAAGAGAGAGTGAGGGAGAAAAAAAAAATCCCTCTAACAACGTGACCTCTCAGCAACCCTCCGCTATTTCAAATGGCTTTTTTGTGTTTGGAAATGCCTTGGATAAACCGCAAAATTCCCTGCTCACTCTTCTCTGTCAGGCTGCAGCCCTCCGGCCCTCAGGCCACCCGGTGAGCTGCAGGCACCCGCACTGCGAGGCCTCGGGGCGCTTCTCAGGCTAATCCACACTAGATCTCACCAACTCAGCACGCTCACCCAGAATTCCAACTAACTTTCCTTTTATTACGCAAACACGACTGGGGCTGCTTGATCCCCCCCCCCCCCAACACACACACTCCAACCCCCCTCAGCCTCTTCCCAGCCTAGCAGGCTTTCAGGCTAGGCAAGTTAGGAATCCAGCTAAGGAGGGACCCCCCGAGGGGCGCCGGAGGGAAAACACCCGACTAAACCTCCCCGAGGTTCCTCCACCGAAACCCCCAAATTGCCTGGTGAAATGCTCTCCCGTTTGCAGTTCCGGGCCCCCACTCCCTTCTAGTGCTGTGGACAGCGTGGCCCTCATCTACCACCCCACCTCACGCCCGCCGGGTGACGATGCCCTGGGTACCTGCCTCCCGCCTCCGCGTGCCTACCTGGCTGGCTGGTGGCACTCGGGACGCGGTTGTAGGCGCCACCGTACTGGTGGTAGGGGCTGGCGTAGCTGTAGTCGGCGTAAGCCTTGGCCGGGTAGCCGGCTGCGGAGCCGTTCACGCCGTGGTACTGGTACTGGTAAGGGTTGAGCGCTTTGCCGTAGGAAGCAGAGGTAGGAGAGCAGTAGCCGTGCGGGGCGGCCCCCGCGGGACTGTAGTAGTCAGAATCGGTGGCCGACGACTCGGGCAAAGTTGGCGATTCCTGAGACGGATGGTGCATGGCGGCAGACGTCGGGAACGGAGCTTGGAAGTCGCCGGATCGGATGCTGGGGACTCTTCTGTCAAACACTCCTGTCATAGCTCCCGAGCGGTGGCTGTCCTGCTGCTGCGGCGGCCGCTGCTGCCTGAATTGGCTGTGGAGCTGCTCTGGTCTAAGCAGACATGGCTGTGGGAGCGAGGGAGGAGGAGGAGGAAGAGGAGGAGGCGGCGGCGGGGAGGAGGAGGCTGGGAGTCGTGGAGGCTCTGTCTCCCGCAGGCTGACTGCTGGCTGAGGCGCAGCACAGCCTTGGTTAAATCCTTAATTGCGCGCTTACGCACAGCGGGGTGGATCGGGTTCCATTGGCCAGGGCCTCCGGAGCAGAGCAACACCCTAACTCGTCCAACTAGTTTTAGCACAACAAAGCATTGCTTAAAAAAAGAGAAGGGGGGGGGGAGATACAGGGATTTTGTGTGTGTGTGTGTGTGTGTGTGTGTGTGTGTGTGTGTGTGTGTGACAGAGACAGAGAGAGACAGAGAGACAGAGAGAGACAGAGACAGAGACACACAGAGAGAGACAGAAAGAGAGACACACACATACACAGAGGGACTACACATGTTGTTGCCTGTTGTGAGGGTCTCAGTCGATCTGTTTTTAGTGAATAACAAAGAAAACCCAAGAAGCCCCAGGACCCAGCTCTGTGCTGTTTGAAGACAATGTGTTCCAATGAGCAGTCTCAAAAGCACACGTTTAGATGATGAGGTCCATGATGGTCTTTTCTTGCTCCACACCTACCTGTCCTCTCTCCCCCTCCACCAAAGGAGACTGCACAACTGAACACTGTTATGGGAATGGGTGTCAAGGAGAAAGAGGAGTGTTGGATGAAGATAGGAATAAATGGAGACCAGTATTGTTTTAGTGGGATGTTGGGAAGCAAGTTGTGACTAAATTGCGTTGAAAACTTGCAAACTGGAAAACAGATTGATGCGTAGCAAGCACTTTTGCAGAAGAATATTTCTCAGGACTCCATGGAGATGTTCAAGAGTGCATATGTCCATTTAGCTGTCACTGGCAGAGTTCCTGCAACTGAAGTCTTCGCAAAGACTGTTAAAAACCAAAGTCTTATTCCTGAATAACCCCTCCTAGCTTGCTTTCCAGAAGAGCTGAGCAGCCCTACTTTTGCTTAGCATCCTCATCTACTTGGAAACTTCTAAACGAAGTATGTCTCTGTTCAGTAGCCAGATTGATGCAAAAGGGAATTGGTTAAGCTATGTGACTACAGTTCCTCCAGACCAAATGGGAATACGAAGACCAGAAAGTGGACAGGGAACAAAGTTCTGTTAGGAGGTGGGATTATGTCCACTGATGACCTTCTCTTGGTTCTATTGCCTACATACACTCCATATGCCTCTCAATTCCCTAGTTTGGGTTCCTGTATACTTCCCTTTATTTCTTGCCCACTGGACATCGTAGTTTATATAGAGAGGGAGACAGGGCTTAAGATGCACACATGTGGCACAGGCCACCAAAAGAAGTTTATTTTGTTGTCATGTGCTTTTACTCTGGCTTTCATTGAGTGGGGGCTTAGGAAATGTATCATAATCCTCACTCATGCCCCACTTCCACTCCCCTCAAAAACACAACTCCAGGGGTTGTATCCTGTTTTGGGCCTCCTTTTGTTCTCCTCTTGGGGGCTAGTCCATGGCCAGGAACCTGAATATTCAGGGTGGGATCTTCTGGCCAGAGAAAGAAGTAAAAGTCCGCCTGAGTTTTGTCTAATGTTACTTTATTCTTACTGTGGCTGCAGAGCTACCTCAAACCCCCTGTCAGAGAACTAGAAGAAGGATAGCAGTCCCTTTCTGGAATCTGGAGTTCCAATTGGAAGCAACAACATATGCGTCACCTCCCAGCCATTGCCCTCCTGGGCCCCCGAAAACCACAGCTACTATCGCTTTTCCTTGGCCGGACAACTTCAGCTTTCGTGAACTCTAGGGAACTAGTGTTCAGGAGGGCCACCCCTTCCTTCATTATGAGTCCCTGTTTGCAGCCTTGGCTTTCCCTTCTGACATAGATGTGAGGGGTCAACAAATGTCTGCTGTCCCTTGGTCCTAACCCCATGCAGTTAATTTTTATGCTGTTGTCCAGGTTCTAGAGTTAGCCTGTGAGTGTCTTCAAGGAGGCAAAGACACTGCTGACCTTGTTGGATGTGATCTTGGCCTGCTCTGGAGATGCTCACCTAGCCCATGGAGTCACCTTAGACACATGGAGCCTAATTGCACAAATCTCTCTTCCAAATCAATGCCTGGGGCTGATCAAAGTGTTTACAGGTAAGGAAAAATGGTGCGGAGAGATGGGTGGTCCCTCCCTGCTACCAATTCTGTTGAATAGGGATTTAATGTAATAACCAGGAGGGAAATAAGGTCATGATGGTCTTCATCAACAGGCTGAGTCTGTCAGGGCTCTCACAGCTTCCTGAGAAGGCAACATCTCATGAGACTGGTACTGGAAACTGCAAACTTCAGGATCTGGTTGAAGGCAAAGTTATAGTGGTAAGATAATTCTAGATCTTGCTAAAATTCACGTACTGCCTCCTCTTTTCAGTGGAGATATATATTCATACACACACACACACACACACACACACACACACACACACACACGTCCATGTTTTTATGAACATCAAAAAAAAGATTAAAGGGATGATAAAATGGCGCAACATCTTTACAGATAACCTGAGGTGCTGAAACATTGACTTTTATGCAGATGTGATTCCCTTGTATCAAGTCCGGTTCAGGGTGAAATCACCAAGTTTTGGTGCCTCTTTGAAATTCACCAGTCTCAACTTTCTTGACTGCTTTTCTGATTTGAGCTCCGTTTGTTCCCTTACCACCTTTTCTTAAATGCAGCCAAAAGAGGGTCACTGTGGACAGCCTGGAGTCTGCTCACAATTTCATTTCCCTGATACACTCTTGTGGTCTGTGCGCTGTCGGCCCCATCTGCGAGTCTGGTCAGTGCTTTGGACACATACTCTGGAGGGTATTCGCCGACGGGGTCATAATTTTTACTGTGGAGGCGGTTCTGACACCAAGACCTCAAGCTTTGTACTAAGGCCAGTCATGGGACACTTACTGATTTTCAAATCCCAACTGACCCGACAGCGGAGAAACAATCCCCTGGCATCAAACTCCTCCAGGACGCGCTCCCCGCTGAGACACGAGGGAGCATGTAATTTCATCTTTGGGTAGCTGAAATTTGCAAAGAATATGTGGTGGCGTTGCAGGGGGAGACCCTAAAGAAGTACAAGCCTTTACCACGAGCGCCACCCAGTGTCCTCCAGGAACAGTGTGCGCACACGAAACTTCCCCAGCTTAGAGGCTTGTCAGGCTAGTCCTGCCCACTACCCAGTGGTCCTGCTTTGTCTCAACTTTCAATAAACCCCTTTCTCCAGCCCACATTCTTTTCTTTCTTTTCCTTCCAACAGATCCGTGCTTTTCTTCTCCCATTCCAGGGTATTACCTTTTTTGTTTGTTTGTTTGTTTGTTGTTTGTGGCGGGAGGGGGGCCTGCTCTCCATCTTTTAGTTCTCATGTGCTTTACTGACAGTTATCTTCCCAGCCGGGGTGAATGGAAGATTTTGAGAGCCACCCTCTCTCCTAGAGAATCTGAGGAATCACTCCCCCTTTTCATCCAAATGAGGGACCAGGCAGGCTTTCTGGTCCTTCACTATTCTAGAGAAGAGGAGACAGGTGTGTCACTCTGAATCTGCATGGTAAATGTGTTATGGAAGGTACGGGGGAGGGTGAATCATTTTATTTATTCATCTATTTAGATACAGAACCTCATATATCGCAGGCTGGCCTTGAACTTGCCATGTAGTGAAGGACACTGTGGCACTGGTGATCCAACTCAGGGCTTCTGCTTGCCTACTCTACCAGCTGAGCTAAACTAACCCCACCCCCATAATAAATAAAGGTTAGATAAACTTAACAATAAAGATCAGATAAATTTAATAGCCACATGAACTCCTTTTCCTTTCTGTCCCATCTGGAAATCTCTTTAAATGGGAATAGAGCATCCCTCACTTTGGGAATGAGACTCACTGTAATGCACATAAAAATATCTAAAGTTTTGTTTTTACACAGCATTCAGATGCACACAATTCAAGTAGATAAAGGACTGCATAATATATGCTGATGTTACATATGCACACTTGATATAAGCAAGACTGTCTTGGGCTTGAATAAATATCAGGCGCATGTCTATCTTTAAAAGTCTTGTTCTTTGGCTGATATTTACTTATTTGCAGTATTTCACCCATTGCTTTCTTTATTTGTCCTATGAAAACTGCTAGCAGGGAAGTTCTCTGTCATGTCTTTACTGATCATGATTCATTGAGGGCATTTTTGTTAGTTTGTTCTTTCAAGACAGGGTTTCTCTTTGGAGTCCTGGCTGTCTTGGAACTCACTCTGTAGATCAGGCTAGCCTCAAACTCAGAGATCTGCCTGCCTCTGCCTCCCGAGTGCTCGAAGTAAAGGCATGCACTACCATGCCCAATCATGGGCATTTTATTTAATTTTCCACAGACCTCAAATATGAGACTGGTTACGTCATGTTCTGTAGCTGAAGTTTTCTCCAGTCCTGCCTGGCCCACAGTCAGGACAAATCTCTCTCACCCGCCAGTCCTGCAGCAGCTTAGACCCAACCGAGTAAACACACAGAGACTTATATTGCTTACAAACTGTATGGCCGTAGCAGGCTTCTTATTATCTAGTTCTTATATCTTAAATTAACCCATTTCTATAAATCTATACCTTGCCACATGGCTCATGGCTAACCAGTATCTTACATGTTGGTATTCATGGCGGTGGCTGGTAGCATCTCTCCGACTCAGCCTTCCTGTTCCTAGAATTCTCTTCTCTGCTTGTCCTGCCTATACTTCCTGCCTGGCTACTGGCCAATCAGCATTTTATTTATACAAAACAATATCCACAGCACTTCCCCTTTTCTTTTTTTTTTTCAAAAAGGAAGGTTTTAACTTTCACATAGTAAAATTACACATAACAAAACAGTTATCAAGCAAGAATTACAGTTATATCTATCCTATTTATAATATCTAGTCTATTTGTATTTGGCAAAATTAAAGAAGATATCCTATTTATCCTATATTTGTGAGTCTAAGGTTTTATGGTATTTATTGCTTGTATATATGGTATATAGTTATTGTAGTCTTGTATATAGTTTTCTTATATTAGTTACAACTTTTTTCCTTTTTTCTTTTTATTAAAATAGAAAGGGGAAAATATGGTGATATTTCATTTGTACTGAAATGTAATTTTATTTGTATGTTAATAAATAAAGTTGCCTGGGGGTCAGAGCTAATAGCAAGCCATAGCAGTAGCCGGGCGGTGGTGGCACACACCTTTAATCCTGATCACATGACAGGCAGATCTTTGAGTGTTCAAGGATACAGCCCAAATGGAGACATGCGCCTTTGATCTCAATACCAACCATAGAAGACCTGGAGGTCTGTATAGATAGGCAGTGATGAGGAGGTCATGTGGTTGGGTTTATAACCAATAAGAAGGCAGAACAGAAAGTCAATAAAGGGACAGACACACAGGAAGTAGACTCTTTCTGGGGGGAAGGACGGCAGAGGCAGGGAAGGGTAGAAAGGCGGTTTTAAGTCTCAGCTCTTAGCTACTGCTCTGACCTCTTGGGCTTTTAACTCTGCATTTGGCTCTGTGTTTCTTATTTAAATAAGACTGTTACATCTATAGTGTTCTGTAAAAGTACATCTGAGTAACTATTTTATTTTCAATAACACTACATTTAACTTTGAAATAGAGCACTATGATTGTTTAACAACCTAGTAAGTCATTAAAACAATAGCTCTAACACATTCTGTGTGGTGGCTGCCTGGAAAACAGCTCCATGGATTGGCATGGTTAGAGAAGAGCAGTGACTGCAAGCTCAGCAAGGGTTCTTCATCATTCTTCAAGTGGCCAGTCATTTGCTGTGGCAATGCAAGTGAATGGGATGTGTCACCTGCCCTGGTCAAAAATGACTTCCAGAGATGGATCTTCTGAGGTAGCAAAACTATTTAATTCCCCATCTAGGATCAAAGTTTTGCTATATGCTTAGGAGGTTTAGCACAAGTCAATGTGTTTGGAAGCCTATATGAACTGACAATGAACTCACCCTAGTAGGGATCTGATGAGAAAAGAAGGGAGGAGGCATTAGGAAAACAAAAGGAAAAATTCCTCATGTGTGCAAATTACTTGCAACACCCCCTTACCTTTGCTAAAAAAAAAAAAATAGTCTGGAGTTAGAGATCACCTCCAACAAAATAACCTCAAAGGGCTTAATATTAGGTAATTATGTAAATATTCTGAATAAAAAAATCCCCAGAGGCAAAAACTGTTTTCCACTTAATTCTAACCTAATAAGATTTTCCGTTTATTTCAAATGATAGTATGTATCATGGAGCTATACATATTTTGTTTTTATAATTAAGACATGCAAGCGTGTTTATTCATTTAGCTAAAACATAACTATTTAGGAAAACACATCAAGTGTCCTCTCAAATCTATTCTGTATGAGATGGATTTGACACAGCACAGCTGAAAGCACTTCAAGTTTATCGAAGCGGGAAGTAAACGGGTTTCCACTAGTCTATGTCTTTGCAAACCAAATTTGAGGCACATTCTTCATCCTAAGCTCAAAAGATGATCTTCTTGAAAGGAAACTTTGACTGTGACACTATTTATATAACCTTTATTATTCTTAAGTCTATATAAATATTCCAATTAAAAATGTTCCTTGTAACACTCTGGAAAGCAGGCCCTGCACCTTGCCTGGGCAGCACAATAGAGCTGACCCTGGTGGCAGAGGTGTGAGTGAGCCAGCCCCGAAGTTGTGAGTGTGAGAGAGCTGTCCCCACTACTCATCTGTCTTGTGGCAGTGTGGGCAGGGGTGAGATGCCCATCCCCATCAATGCCTGAGGCAGGTGGGACTGCTGGCCTGGGGTCATAAGAGCAGGGGAACTCTCCCTGCCCCTCATCAGTAGCAGGACTCAGGAGAGTGGCCCTTGCACCTTGCCTGGGCAACACAACAGAACTGGCCCTGAAGGTGTAGGTGTGGGAGAAATGACCTTGAGCACTTGAAAGGCTGAGAACAGGCTCCATGCCTTTCTCATCACTGCAAGGGGTGAACTAGTCAGGGCAATGCTGGAGAGTTCACTCTGGTGGCGAAGACAGGGGAGAGTGGGCAGGATGATCAACCTTGCAACTACCCAAGCCCAGAACCAGGGTTATGGGTTGGCCCACCCCAATATCCTTCCCATTTGTGATCTGCTGGAGCAAGGGGTGGGGTGGGGTTGTCAGTCTGGGGCTGTAGGATCCCCAAAACACAGAGGAGTCACTGAATGTCCAGGATGAGTCCTGGTGGTGAGTCCATGGTATAACAGAGACCACGGGCCTCGAACCAGACCAGTGATTCTTTTCGATAAACGTCTGCATGTAAAAATATATGAATAGAGGAGTTTACTGCATGACTCACTGTGTCACACTGCAGCTTCCATGAGGAGATTTTTTTCCTTCTTTCTTTCTCTCTCTCTCTCTTTTTTTCCCCTTAAATTTTATTTTATTTGGGGAGAGGGGAGGGAGACAGGTGGGATGGGAGGCATGATGTGAAAGACACAAAGAGTAAATAAACAAAAGAATTGATTTTTAGAAATGCTCCTTGTAGCTGTGTGGTGGTGGCGCCTGCCTTTAATCCTAGGCAGAGGCAGGCAGATCTCTGTGAGTTCAAGGCCAGCCTGGTCTACAGAGCAAGTTCCAGGACAGGCTCCAAGCTAAGGAGAAACACTGTCTTTAAAACAAACAAACAAACAAACAAACAAACAAACAAACAAAATATCTCCTGTACAGTTGAGGAGACAGGAACTGTCAAATGGGAATTCAGTAACACTGATAGCATACCAATTCCAAGATTAATTTAGAATTTTAAAATTCAGGGGTTAGGTAAATAGCTTGCTAAAGTGCTGCCATGCATGAATGAGAAATTGAGTTCAGATCCTGAGCACTCACTTAAAGGCTGAGAAGGGCATCGTGAGTCTATGACCCCAGTGCTGGGGAGGCAGAGACAGGCAGATCTCAAGGGCTTGTTGGCCAACTAATCTGATCAAATCACAAGTCCCAGGTTCATTTAGCCGTTCTGTCCAAAACAAAACAACAAAAACAAAACAATAACAACAGACGCAACGGTGAAGAGGTAAGTGAAGCTGACACTCAGTATTAACCTGTGGCTTCCTCGCATTTACACACTCACATATACATACAAACACATATATGTCATAAGACACACATGCACACACACAAGAACTCATTGATTTGAGGCCTCTCTGTATTTTATGATATGACAACACTGTGCAAAGATGTAGGAAACTATTTCTAAAGTCAAATGCATTCAGAGTATTCAAACATTGTGAGCCAAACTTGCAGAGCAAGGAAGGGCACAGAGGCAGATGGTATAATTTTATGGAACTTTATTGCACTTAATTATATCATTTTTAATAGACTAAAACAAACAAAAAGAAAACACAAAACCTTTTTCTACAGCTGTGTTTATTGCCTTATACCTTTTATAAAGAAAAAATAACCTTAAACAGGCAACCGCAGTCTGAGATAAGAGGTCCTCCTGCTGTGCCGCACAGCATAATCAGGGAAAGGCACAGTGCCCACCTGGACTCCCAGCCCTCTGTGTTCCTGCAGAAGAAAATGAAGGCAACAGAAAAGAAAAGCCAATCGTTTTCCCAAGTGCGCCTGACACTGCAGTGGAGTCTCTTTTGAAAGCCATGAGCAGGAAGGATGGCTTACTTGCTGCCAGAATCTTCTAATGGCACTTGACTTAGTGAGTCAATTCTCTGTATTTGCATATTTTACATCCTTAGAGTCCACCAACCTCCTAATGAACGTATTTCTGAAGAGAAAGTACGTGTGATGAAGATCTAAGACTTTTTTCTTGTCATTATTCAATGGATGTAGCATGTATGCTGTATTAGTTAGAGGGATTGGGAGAGGGTATAGGTAGGTTCTGTGCAAATATTATGAGGTTTTATATAATGATATTGAGCTTGCATGGAGGCTGGGCACAGTTAAAACCAATCCCTGGTAGACAGAGAAATGATCATTGAGCCATGGGAAGGCCAATAATCAAAACTCACTTTTTCACCATTAAAGTTTTAATAACTTTCACCCCACTGTATCAGGAGAGTGGGGTCTCTGGTCTTGCTTGTAGCAGTACA